CCTGGATCCGCTACTGAGTAATGAAGCGTTTTAGAACAGCAAAGGAACAGCTAGGGGTCACACGGTACGAATTGCATAACGACTGGGTTTTCCAATGCTCCAGCCCATTAGAAAACTTGTTCTTGATCACCTAATAACTGTGGTGCATACCCACTTCCGGCATATTTCTTCATTGTCGTCAGCCACTGCATAAAAAATTTGCACAAAATTTTCAACAAGTGTTTAGCGGATACCATGCTTCTTAGAAGAATGACAATAGCATAGGGAATTCTGGCTTACTGCCCAGAAATTATGATTAATAATGTTGTAGTGGATACCCAGCAATTATGCTTGCAGCAGTTACCCAATGAGTGGTTAGAAAAAGCTCTGAAAGGCCACTCTTCTAGCTTTTGCTGTGACTGTTCTGCACCTTCCGTGCAGGCTTGGCGGTCTTTTTTTTTTTTTTTTGTCAGGTTTGTCGTAGTGAACTTTATTGGGACAGCTGCTGTGCAGGGCACGATTGGCTGGTAGGCTAGCTACACTACTAAGTTTGTCGAGCATGGCAACCATGCGGCTGGAGGACACTTTGGCGTCACTCCGTGTGTGTTCGTCACGAGAGAAAACAAGAGTTTCCTGCTAGGAGGTTCGTTACACATTTTGCAGGCCAAAACAAAAAACAAGGGCGGTTTCCCCTTGTGGAGAGTGAATTTTTTGAATTGAGGCTCCATAGTCCTGTCACTGAACTGAAGGCCAGCAGTAGTTGGATAGCAACTTTTTTAAAACCATCATGCGAAACATTTCAATTTATAACTCCGGTGACTTTTTCTTTCCCCAGTATAATGAACCCTCCCCCCAAATTGGCGTCAGCTTTTCTGGAAAAAAAAAAGTGGCTTCATTACGCAAGTAAATGCGGTGGTATGTTGTCTAAATCACTACTTTAAAGTTAGCTGGTAGCAATGGCATGCAGACAATAGTCAGTTTATGCAGCAGCACATAACATTTGAATATTTATAATATATACGTACCAACTAGCTCAGCTTTCCGTTATTATTTCTTTTTGAAAAATTTTGAAATATCAGAAATTGTCCCTTAAAAAGAACAGGAAATGGAATGACAAAGAGCTGATTAAACTTGAGTCACCGTGCGCAATTTTCACCTTAAACGAAAACAGACAATACTTACATTTAGGTTTGCTTTAAAGAATTCAGATGGTCAGAATTAATTCAGACTGCGTGCATCACGCTTATGTCGTATAATTTTGCGCAAAATGTCACTTTTTTTTACATTAGTATCTTGAGTGCTTTTGTGGCATTGTTATTGATTGACGGAAGGAATGGACATTATTCGCTTGAAAAAACAACTTTTTTGTCCCATCGAAGAACCGAACCTTTATTGCATCACTGTCATGCAGATACCGTATATACTTGAATCTAGGCCGACCCCCAAAATTGGCAAGGCCAGAAAAAAAATTCCATTTTTGCCATCGTCGCACATTCTTTGCGTGCACACTTCCATTTTTGCCATCGTCGCACATTCTTTGCGTGCACACTGAACTATTGCTGCGTTCATAGGTCCAATGCCTTTTCCACATGTAACCCGACTTTCCGCTTAAACGCCGCTTGGTTGGTGCCATCGAATCTGAAGCACAATTGACAAAGCTGTTCGCGAGCAAGAGGCACAACTACGCTGCACGATCGCTCTCAGAAGAATGACTATTGGCCAGCTCCGCGCCTCTTTTTGGCGCCATCTGCCACGTGATAGCCAATAAGTGGCCAAAGTGGCAACAGTCGTGTTGAATTTTTTTTTCTTTTTTTGGAAACCGGGCTTGGCTGGAAATTCATTTCATTTTAAACTCCAGTAAGCGAATCAGGTATTTCTATTCTATTTTAACACAGAGCAGACAGCAGACATTCTGAGCATCACAGAAAAAAAAAATAATATGAAGTTTAGTTTTTGTCCACTAAGTATTACAGCTGGGTGACTAGCCGCCGCCCGATCTAAAGGGTACAGCCATGTCAATACATCCATCCATCGGCGGTAATCACGTGACACAATCCACGTCTTTCCGTTTTTCCATGGCTTTTCCAAAGTGAAATCTCGCTGGCTTGACTACCCTCACTCCCTCGCTGCGTGAACATTGGACTGTGTGATTTCGGGTCAATGGACCGTTTGAAAGTGATAGGGACCACTATTTTCCTTCTGAACAGGCCTAAGCGGCCTCGTGACCGTGCAGCTACTGTAGAATGGCGGGAAAATGAGCCTTTAGCATGCAAAACCGGTACCTAGAGATCGGCGCAATGAGGGCCGTATTGCCGCTTGCGCGGCCGGCCTTCAAGCAGCTGGCAGCGGCGGCCAAATCGTGGTACTCGGATTTAAGTCGACCCCCCCCCCACTTTTGCACATCATTTTTTCAAAAAAAAAAAAAAAACAGCTTAGATTCGGGTATATACGGTAATCAATTGAAAAAAGCTGTGTTCGGAACTGTTGCTTTTTTATACTGTTATTGGAAAAGCACAATCATGCTAAAGCACTATCAGAGCGACGTAGCTTTCCTGAATAAACATGGCTGTCCTACGTTCATTTCATGGACAACTGAATAACAAAAAATGCTGATTTGCGGTTATTCTAGCTCATCGCCCAAGAATATGTTTTCTCTCTTTCTCATTTTTTAATATGCAAGACCAGCATGCATGAGGCAGCGAATGAATTCAGTTGGGCTACAGCTCTGGGGAGTAGGCGGGACACAAGCTCAGTACTTTTAAATACTAAACATGCAAGAAATGTGACAGTGTAAAAACGCAATGACCAAATGTGAACATCTCTTGCAATGACAGATAGCATTTCTTGCACAAGTGACAGTAGTGTTCGATGAGTTTCGTGCATTCATTCAATAATGGACAACATACATTTTATAAGTGGGTGGCAATTAATGCATTTATTTGCTGACAACCGGCTCACATCACTCATAAAAACGGGCCGCTGCATGCAATTGTATGTGCACCACCAGCCGCCTATCCACACTAACGCGCTGATGGTCCTGCCACCTATAGCCCAATCTAGGGCCCAGTACACTGCGTTTTACATCAAGGAATGGCTTTGTTGCATGACATGCCCAATTGTTCACGCCCATGACATGCCCAATTTTTGTCGAGAAAGTCCTGTTAATGAAAACGTTTGAATTTTTAGAGATGGTCACTATTATATGGCAGTACATTTTGTATAGACCTACTCCATGTTTGTACAAACGGTAGGTGCCGAGTGAGAACACGGCACATTGGCTCTGCCCAGTCGTCCCAGCTAAAAGCACGTCGCCACCCTCTATAATCATGTGACAACTACCGCTGCAGGTGCTCAAGCTGCCTTCGAGAACAGCGCATCGGGACGCCTCTCGTATATTTACAAGCAGCGGCCCCAACAGAGGAAGTTGGAGTGGTTCTGAAAGGAACATATAAGCTATGTTGACGTGTAGCTCTAGCTTTGAGAACTTCTTCAGAACATGAAGCATTTTAATGGTCGAAATTTGGATTTTTTGCGAAATGTCATTGCCGTTACTGCAGCCTACGTCACATGTGCCCATTTTTATTTGTACTAATGCAAGGACAAACCCAGTTCAGCAGTTCAGCAAGAGGCTTTAGGGTGCAATATGCAAATGTGTGGTGTAAAAATACATAGCCACGAATCGTTACGATAAATCCTCACATATTACAAATTTGCTAGAGAAGTTATTCATGCAAACGACAAGGGCGATCTCGGCGACACTTTCATCCGCAACACGCTTGCAATAATGCTTCAGCAACATGCTGGGGACAATATGGTTACGTACCTGTAAGGTCCATGGCTCAATTCATACGCTCAAGCCAACACCGTGAAATGTGTACTGACCATAGACAGACTCTGCAAGTTTCCTGAGTGATGTTTTTCTGTGAATTCACGCAGACATAAAAATCTCATGAAGCGCACCACAGCCAGAACAGCCCTGCCCGATACACGTGTGTCAGGTGTGTCATCCTAGTCGCATATAATCAGAAAAAGCACAGTCTTAAGTCATGCGCGCCCTGCTGCTTTAATGAACTGTACCCATGCAGAAAAAAACACATGGCCAATTTGGCTCGATGTAGTTCATGCGAATATAACGATATCGTTTTGACGTGTCGAAGACTTTAGCAGTTATATTGATAATGGCAACCGTGAAAAATGGTTTGGATAAGGCAATGCTATCCAGAACGTTAACATGCTTTCAGGTAAACATACTCGATGAGTTTCCGTCGCTCACTTAAAAAACTATGCATAATTCTACAGCTTATTCCAATGCCTCAGGGAGCTAATCATTTTTTCTGGGTAAGCCGCACTCCAAAACATAACCGATGAGGCGGCGTTGAAGGCAAGTTCTCGTATTTTCTAGCTGCGGCTGATCTGCGACGGTTTTCATCAACAGAAAACCGAGGGGGAAAAAAAAGCCCATCTTTTCTTGTGCCATCCCTCACAAATAACCAGAACAGCTCATCGTTACACCATTTTTTTTTTTGTTTTCACGACGACAACTAGCTCACGCACCAGTCAAAACACAGCAGCAACTGCCGTAGGCGCAGCGGCTTTCGCCTACCAAGCGAAACCAAACGCCCGCCAGCACCACTGCATTTTCGTGACGTATGTCCAGTGGAATTCATCTATATCTTATTATTTCAGCTATATTTTTTCTTAGTAGATTAAAGAACGTCTCGAAAAACTCTGTTCAGTATTGTCCCACAGCCTTATATTGGGCAGTTATATCACTTGCATGACATACGTCTCGTTAATGGAACTTGGACCCATAAAATGTTCATTTATTCCGCATTTTGTTCATGTATTGGTGCAACCTACAAAAAAAAAAAATAAAACGCATTTTTCCCTCAATATCAAGAAAGTTCAGCTGTTTGGCGTATAAGCTAAACTTCTCAAAAATTTGTTTGAACATATGCATGCCTTGAGATATGTCTAATAGCATGGTTGTCAAAGGAGTGGTTTCGTATTTTAAATCCTAGGTAGTCCTACGCTGCCGGGACTGTCCACACATTGTGCAGTGTCTGGGATACTTGATTACTGAAGGTGAAGTGTGGATCTGCATGGAGCTTATGGAGACATGTCTTGACAAGCTGCTGAAGCGCCTCAGGCCACGTGCACTGCCTGAGGATATACTTGGAAAGACGGCCCTTGGAGTCCTTCGTGCCCTGCACTATCTCAAGGTAAAGAATGAGGTTGACCAACTCCAGATCTCTTCTATCTTTGTGGAAAGAATATTACGCCTATCTGAAATAATGTGGTAGATGATTGTCCTATTTAGTTTTTGCAAGGTGTCTATTGACCAGGAAAACAAGCGAGCAGTTCACTCTTATTTTTTGTCCCGGCTGCATGTGCGTAGCATCAACAAGGGTGGGGACAGAAATGGGAAAGTATGAGCTTTCGAAGCATATCAAGGCAACACTCACCTGTGGGAAGACGAGCGAGGCCACCTTGAACTTTGGTGCTTGTGTGATTTTGAGCTCATTTGTTATTGATCTCTTTGGCTAAAGCACTTTTTCGGATATATTCCGTTGTGAGCTAACTCACTGATACAACGTGGATATGGAAAATACTATCACCGTGTGGCATTGGAAATACCGCAAAGCAGCTTTTTTTATGTTGCTTCCTTCATTTTTTTTGCGTGTATGTGCCCTGCCTTCCATGGAGCTAATCATGCAACACTGTTAGCAAAGCTGACTGCTCTTTCAATTGCTGAAAAATTGAGAACATTTCTGTGTGAATTTCAGACAGGTAAACAGTGGCTGCATCCCTTCATCAGTAGCACTAAATGTCATTCCGTGTTTGTTGCTGTCAAGAATTGTGAAAGGACCAGTCAACAGGGTCCGGCTTTTTTTTTTACACCCCCCAAACAAGCTCGGCAAATCGCAGCGATCACGTTTTCGGAATATCACAGCTCCGTGCTAAGCCTCCATTTCGAAAAACAATTCCCGCGCATCTCGACAAGCACGCAGCAACTATTCGATGAGCATGCAGCTCGTTGATTGGTCTAAATCAGGTCTCAACGAATAGTAGTGAAGTCAATGATAGTTCCTGTTCCCACGGTATCCCCCCCACAGCTAAGACAAAGGCATTCAATCATACGAGTTGCGAAACTCCCCGTAGGCTCCATGTATCAAAATTCGAACCCGCCACTGGTCCAGTTTTTAGGAGTGAGCAGATTGTCGTGCCATCTATTGATCAGCACACCCACTATTAAACGCATTATTTGTGTTTTGTGTTACTGCTCCCAAACGGCGCGACAGTCTGCTAACTCTCGAAAAATAAGGCCAACAACATGTCCACGTTTTAGAATGCAGTTTCACTGCAAATCGTTGCCGGCTGCGAATCGAGCGAATGGGCTGCGAGGCAGCTTCGGTACCGGGTCAACACCCTCTAGACTGGTTGAGGCCTCTCCACTTTTTCTTGTCCTTAGCGCGTTGTCACCCCACTACGACGGAGATGCTTCGTCATCTCTTAATGCGGTTTTGGTAAGCAGGAGGCATGCTCCCCTTCCGAAGCAACCCGTCTTCATCACTCCGCCCTGCTCTGACCGGTTTTGTGGTATTTGCGCTACTGCGAGCTCGCTGAATAAAACAAGCCGAAGTGTCAAATTTCGGGGAATCATCTGTAGCGTTTTTCTTTAAAATTTGACCTCAAAATTAATTCATTATTGCGTTAAACACGTGCGTATCAGTAAACGTAGTCTTTTGAAACATTAAAATTAGGTTTTACGCCAAGTTTTGTTCCTATTTTTGATATTTTAGTGCAATGCTCGAGAGGGTGAATGCATCCGCAGGACCATAAACATCAGTGAACACCCGGTTCATGTGGCAGTTGGCTGATTTTTCGAGCGGTTGCGTTGTAAAACTGTTTCTGTGTTTTCGTGCTCTGTGCATTGGCGAGAGTGTTGGTATATTGCCTTATTAACGATGGCATGAGTGAGTCCAACCAATAGTGTATGGATCGAGTGGGCAAGCTGTGATAATGCCTGAGCATTGCCGTGTACCGCGGTGCCGCGGGAACTATGATGGTGAAGAATCTGTGCATGTGTTCACGTTCTCCTCGGACCCTACAAGAACAACTCGGTGGATTAAGGCTATTCACCGTGCCAACTTCACACCAGGAAAGCTATCAGTGGTAAGGCTAACTTTCCTATTAAGTCCTGTTTTCTACACTACCTGTGCATTGCATAACACCACGGGGACTGATGTGAGAGATAACAAAAACGCCCACTCTATATTAAAGAGAATGTGTGGGAAATATAAGGGAGTGACTTTGTATAGCTTACATTAGGCACCACGGGTTTCTTGAGAAATAGTCGGAGTGTCCATTACTTTGCTGCCATGAAGATGAGCTGCTGCTTCTGAACTTAATACTACGTTATTCTGTCTTTTTTTTTTATTATTCTAGGTCTGTGAGCGCCACTTCAGACCATTCAACATGGTAAACACACCAAGCTATGTGGATACAAAGACTGGCAGAGTAATTGAAGCAAAGCTGAGTCTTACCCGTCTTCGACCTGACCCAATTCTAAGCATATTGCCAAACTGTCCAGCTTATCTTTCCGCCCCAGTCGCAACCACATCTTGAGAGGCCCCACATGAAAAAAAGCTCGTAGAGAGGCAGCTTTTCTGCAAGAAGCCGTCAACCTGTCCATCGAAACGCATCTCGAGGAAGAGTGAAATAACAGAATTGACACTTTTCAGGCACTCTTGAACTGCCTTCTACATATTAAGGTTTTGAAATTCTGGACAGCTTTTACACAGCATGACTGTGTACTTATGATGGTGCCCCAGCTGTCAGAAAAATCGGTGAAAATCACAGAGGACCTGTCTTTCACGCTGTTTTTTCAAGACGTCGAGGTCACCAAACGTGATGGCATCGACATTCCCAAAACTGTGAATGGCATTCGGTGCATGACGTGTCTTCTGGAAGCTGTTGAGGGACTTGATGAGACACCTACCTTGAAGTCTGAGGACAAGACCAGTGGCATATAAAGCTCGTAGTGTCGCTGCTTGAGGACGCAATGAATCAAGAAATGCAAGACAAGGAGCAACACGATGCTTGTACGTTCTTAAGGAGGGACATAGGTCTTAGAATGATCAAAAATGGTCAAAAAATTGATTTTTTGCAAAGCTTATCTTCTGGGAACTTGTACTTTTTAGCACCTACTCTCAAATTTCTGACGATGAAATTGGTCGGGAAACGCGATAAAATCGACCTTCAATGCACTCCGGTTGCACTAAAATGCCCCCAAAATGGACGAAATTTGTTTGAACTGCCCCCACGTGCTATGTGCGTTGCAGCAAACTGAGCGCCGCCATCTTGGGCTTGATTTGAAGCTGTTTTTCTTGTGCACATTTTGCACCATCTAAAATGGCGTCGCTGAAGCGGAATGGCTGCCATCGCAGGTTTTCTGAAGGTCGTTTCCAGATCGCCGATTTTATCAATCGCAGAACAATGAGTCTTTTTGGAAGTTCATCAAAAGTCAGCAGCTCCTACCCGCACCCGTCAGATCCGACACGTCCTCTTTTTTTGTTGTTGTTGATCCCATTCACCTGTTAAAATGTGTTCGTAACAATTGGATTAATCAAAAGAACAGTGGCACATGCATGTTTTTTCCTTCTCTTCTGGATCTGCATGGCAGCCCAAAAATTCTCACAGCATCTTTCAAGACCCTCCGGCATCTTCACTCAAAGGAACAAGATAAACTTGTGAAGGCTGCTCCAATGCTCTCAATAAAAGCTCTCAATCCTTCCAACATGGAAAGGCAGAATGTTAAACTTGCCCTGAAAGTGTTTAATCCATTCATGACAGCTGGTTTAGAAACATATGACCAGCGCTATGACTTGCAGCACGCACCTGGAACTGCAGAGTTCATAAGGATTGTAGAAACGTGGTGGAAGATTATTAATGTCAAGTCTCCCAATAAAGGACGACGGCTTCGCAACGTGCTGCAGACTTTCATCACGGAAACATTGTGCCCATAAGGGGAATTTCTTCGCAGCATCATGCAGTGGCTTGATGTGTGGGAACAATTGAAGTTCACTAACGGAATTCTCACACGGGAGATCCACAGTGCTTTTAGACTCGCTACAGAGACATTGGTCAAGCTTGTCGCATATTGCCTCAAAGACCTTGAATTTGGTTATGTACTCCTGGGCAAGTTCCAGATAGACTGTCTGGAGGAAAAATTTTGCAAGTATTGACAACTTTCCAAGTCTGAGTACCATGTCTCCATTAGGCAGATATTTGAATCCGAATGCAAGCTTCGTCAACAAAGCGCCCTGAAGTTGTCAGAGATGAATGCAAAGACGCCTCCAATCAATTTTGATGAGGCCATTTGGCAGAAATTCAACCTTGAAGTAAACGCTAAGGATATTGAAATGAACGCCCCTAATCATCCTGCCATAACGTACATCGCAGGCTATTGTGCCCATGCGGCACTTAAGAAGCTGTCATGCACTGCGTGCAGAACAAACTTAGTGGAAAAAGAGGACAACACAGAAGTAATAGAGAGCATGAGCTGTGGGGAACTTAAGTTTCCCCAACCTGCAGTGGTTAATGCTGTTATGACCGCCAAAATAGTGTTAGACAAACTACAAAGTCACAAGTATTCTACTGTCTTTTATGCACTCCCAAATCAAAAGCGAGTCCTTTTTTCGCTGACGTGCAACCTCTTGATGGAGGGCAGCTATTGGAGGAATGTCATAGCGGTCACAGCCCAGAGTTAGTGCTACAACACCTACTTAGTGCTGCAATTAATATTCTGCTGAAAAACTATTGTAAACTTAAAAATGATCAATTTGTCTAAAAGAAAGTGGCCAAAAAGCGGAAGCTGAACACCTCAAAACCTTGACGGTTCGGCACTTTCACTTGTCTATAAAACGTCACATGCACTGGTTCATTTATATATTTTAATAAACATATATATATAAACCAGAGCACAAAACCGAGAACAAATGGAGGATTTGCAACGTGCCATAAGTACGCGAAAAAGCGATGTCGTCTTTCTGAAAACGCATCCGCCGCGCCCGGCGTAGTGGGGTGACGTCATTGAGGAGTGGAGAGGCCTTAGCTAGTCTAGAGGGTGTTGACCGGGTCAATAGTAAACAGCCAGGTACCTCAGCAAGCAGAAGTGCGTTGCGACTGATATAGTTCGCCGATGGCGTCAATTGCTGAT